GTAAAGGAGGAAGGTGAGATGAAGACCAAGAAGGAGATATATAAGGGGGCACAATGCGGGCCAGATGAAGACCAAGAAAGAGACATATAAGGGGGCACAATGCGGGCCAGATGAAGACCAAGAAAGAGACATATAAGGGGGCACAATGCGGGCCAGATGAAGACCAAGAAGGAGATATATAAGGAGACACAATGCAGGCCAGATGAAGACCAAGAAAGAGACATATAAGGAGACACAATGCGGGCTAGATGAAGACCAAGAAAGAGACATAAGGGGGCACCATGCGGGCCAGATGAAGACCAAGAAGGAAATATATATGGAGAAAAAAATGCGGGCCAGATGAAGACCAAGAAAGAGACATATAAGGGGACACAATGCGGGCCAGATAAAGACCAAGAAAGAGACATATAAGGGGACACAATGCGGGCCAGATGAAGACCAAGAAAGAGACATATAAGGGGGCACAATGCGGGCCAGATGAAGACCAAGAAAGAGATATATAAGGGGGCACAATGCGGGCCAGGATCACCCATGGAGAGGCCAGAAAACCCCCTTCAGCCGTTAGGCCATATTTCAGGCTAGGCTATATTTACGGGCTCCCGGAAAAAGTCAGGGTGGGGCTTCAAAAAAACTAAAAATTGCATCCCACAAGAGAATGACGAGATTAAAATGAAGTAAAGAAGAAGAAGAGATAGAGAGTAGATTTTATACCCCACCAGAACATCACACAAGCGATAAACACCAGATGACAAAAAGTGCCACCATGTGGATGAGGATCACCCCCGTGGAGAGGTCCCAGAAACCGTGTTCAGCCATTAGACCACATTTATAGCCGGGCTATATTGCGACCCCCGGCAAGAGCCAGGGTGGGGCTTCAAATAACAAAAAAAAAAAAAATTGCATCTGAAAAAGGACGGTAGATTATAATTTAGAAGAAAAAGAAGAAAATAAATGTACATGTGCGTTGGCGTTTCTTTCTCATAGAGAATGCGACTGAAGATGTTTTTACAGCTTCATATTAAACATCACATCCTATTTATAATCACTATTTACTGTCGCAGCTATGTATTACTGCCTCGCTATGAAGACAGTACTCCTGTTCATACTTAAATATTGTACATTACATTCAAAGACACATAGCTCTTTCTTTGTCTCTGAACATATCAGCGCTGGAATATTAAATCTAAGGGACACAAAGGGAATCGTTTTTCTTGGAAGAAACCCAGATTTAAACTATAAATTAAGGGGACATAATTGCTGGTCTTTTTACAAAGCTAACAGAATAGGACAATAAATTTTGTGGGCATAAAAATAAAAGGACAGCTGCATTAGAAATTAGCACAGAATCGGCTAGTAAATTTAGAAAATGCCAGGTCAAATTTCCTAGGTTTTAAAACGTGTATTACTTTAATAAATATGTTTCACTTTATGTGTCAAATATCACTTAATTGTAAACTTAGTTATCAGAAATGTAATGCTTTCCTTTAATGAGTAAATACACAATATTAAGTCTTTACGTCCTTTTCACGACGTAATTTTTTGTTATTTTAAGCCCCACTCTGGCTTTTGCCAGGGGCCGTAATATAGGCAGGCCATTAAAATGGCCAAATGTCTGAACGCGGTTTCTGGGACCTCTCCACGGTGATCCTCATCCACATGGTGGCACTTTGTGTCATCGGGTGTTTATCGCTTGTGTGATGTCCTGGTGGGGTAGAAAGTCAGTCAGTCAGTCAGGTTCACTTAATTATTCAGTTTCGTCCTTTTTAGGACGAAATTTTTTGTTATTTGAAGCCCCACCCTGGCTTTTGCCAGGGGCCGCAATATGGGCAGGCCATAAATGTGGCCAGATGTCTGAACGCGGTTTCTGGGACCTCTCCATGTTGATCTTCATTCGCATGGTGGCACTTTGTGTCATCGGGTGTTTATCGCTTGTGTGATGTCCAGGTGGGGTAAAAAGCCAATCCAATCCAGTAAATCCATGCTTTCTTATCCTTACGTCCTCTTTAGGACGTAATTTTTTGTTATTTGAAGCACCACTCTGGCTTTTCCCAGGGGCCGCAATATAGGCAGGCCATAAATATGGCCAATTGTCTAAACGCGGTTTCTGGGACCTCTCCACGGCGATCCTCATCCACATGGTGGCACTATGTGTCATCGGGTGTTTGTCGCTTGTGTGATGTCCTGGCGGGGTAGAAAGTCAGTCAGTCAGTAAATCTATAGTTTCCTTACGTCCTCTTTAGGATGACATTTTTTGTTTTTGAAGCCCAACCCTGGCTTTTGCCAGGGACCGCAATATAGGTAGGCCATAAATACGGCCGATTGTCTGAACGTGGTTTCTGGAACCTCTCCTGGCGATCCTCATCCACATGGTGGCACTTTGTGTCATCGGGTGTTTATCGCTTGTGTGATGTCCTAGTGGGGTAGAAAGTCAGTCAGTGCAGCTTTTCGATGCTTATGTCCTTTCCAGGATGACTTTTTTTGTTCTTTGAAGCCCTACTCTGGTTCAAACTTTCGCAATATAACCCGGCTATAAATATGGTCTAATGACTGAACGCGGTTTCTGGGACCTATCCACAGGTGATCCTCATCCACAGGGTGGCGCTTTGTGTCATCGGGTGTTTATCGCTTGTGTGATATCCTAGTGGGGTAAAAGGAGATACATAGATAGACGAAGTGGGGATTATATCTCGTCATCTCTTGTGGGATGCAATTTTTAACTATTTTGAAGCCGCACCCTGGCTTTTTCCGAGTACCCCAAATATAGTCGGGCCATAAACTATGGCCTAATGGCTGAACGGGGTTTGTGGGAATTCTACACGGGTGATCCTCATCCTCCGGGTCGCGCTTTGTCATCGAGTGTTTATCGCTTGTGTGATGTCCTGGTGGGGTACAACTTACCTACATACGAGATAGGGATAATCATTTGTCATCTAGTGGGACGCAATTTTTCGTTACTTTGAAGCCCCATCCCCGGCAAACCGAATATAACCTAACGGGGATTCCAGGACCTCTCCACTGGTGATCCTCTTCCGCATGGTGGCACTTTGTGTCACTAGATGTTTATTGCTCTGTGTGATGTCCTAGTAGGCTAAAACTTATTTATTTACGAAATGGGACACAATCATTGTTGCATTAAATCCCCACCACGGATGGACTTACATTGCTTCGTAACTGTGGTCGAGGCTTATGGTTAAACAGGGTTTTTGGAACTTGCGCCTGGGGATTCTCATCCGAATAGTGGCTCTTTGCGTCATCGGGTGTTATTCGCTGGTTGTGTGCTCCTTGTGGAGTTAAGGGTCATTCACTCTGGTTAGCGCCATCGAACTCACCGCTCCCTACCCCCTTTTCCCTTTCCTACTCACATTAGCCCTCCCTAGTTACAGTGTGTGTCGTTTAACCCCACCAGAACAGCACCACGAGCGACTAACAGACGGTGACAAAAAGTGCCATCAATCCGATGAGGATCACCCGGCCACAAGTCCCAGAAATCTCGTTCAACCGTTCAGTTATATTAGGGCCCCCGGTTGCAGCCGGGGTGATACTTTAAAATAACGAACAATTAGGTCACTAATTGGGACGGGAATTGACGATTTGCCGAAGTTACAGTGGAGTCTTTTTTCTTAGACCGATGAACATTAAATGGGATAACAAAAGGTGAATAAATCAGAGAAATATCTGGAGCAACAGCTGCCATCAATAGTCTCAAGTCAGAGAAGATGGCGCTATTGTTAGTTGAGTATCCTTTACAGGATTTTGAAGAACCAAACCCAAGGTAAGGTTCTCTAATCAAATTTACGTCCAGTAGTTTGCCATTGCTTCTGGACGGTCAGCTATCTTGATACCACTGTCGAAACCAACGCAAGGCGCATGGCCCGCAGCTGGGATCGAACCCGGCATCCCGGCATTACGAAGCGTTCGCATCGACTTAGCCACAGAGAAGATGGCGCTACACTAGACGCATATACCAGTCCCTCCCCATGTGGGATGCAGTGTTTCGTTATCTGAAGCCCTAATTCGGGTTTTGCACGGGTGGGACGGGGGATGCTGAATAATCTGTATAGTAGAAATCCCTTATAACGCCTTGGGTGGATCGGGTGTATAGGTAGAGCGTCCGATATTTTTACAGACCAATCGGCACTGGATGGGTAATGTGGTCAGTATTACGCCGGCCGTCTTTACTTCCCCAGGACAGCCATCCTGGTACCCATTAGGCTGGGTCGACCTGCGACGCCCCATACTACGATAAAAATCCACGCAGCCAGCAGTGGGTTTCGATCGCGGGACGTTTGTATTACGAGTCTGACTCGCAACGCCTTAAGCCATGGACGCCGCGTGCTGAACATAGCCGGACCATAAATATGGTTTTCTTTGTAATTACCATTAAAATAATGACCATAGCAGATATTTCAAAACGCATATATGAGCGTGTTTAAAAAAAAGAGGGGACGGCGGAATGGGGAATAGACGCTTGCATTAAGGTGGAAAAAAGGGGAGGGGGGCAATGATCATTTTGCTATAATCCGTGATAGGTTGTGACACTTAGTTGTACAAAAATAGGTAGGCGGAGAGCAGGAAGAGACCTTTGAAGGGAAAAATTTTTCTGAAATTGGGGAGGAGTGGGGAAGGGGGTGGGGGGGGGGAGATAGGGCACAATAAGACGCAAATCAATGTGTATTAAACATGACATATTGCAGTTGAGACAGAAGGCTGAGGACGTTGACATACCACACTAGGCACAGATTTAAAAATTATCCGGAGTGAACGGGTTGTAGGGGTGATTCATTGAGCATGTCCCCAGGATACAAGCAGTAAACCTCTCTGTTATTAATTGTTTTAAGAGAAAAACAAGTTTGCCCATAACATCAATAGTGGAGAGATAATGATTGGGTCCAGCCTTTGCCTGACTTGATGTTTCCCTAACGACGACTGACGAAACTTCTAACGAACTTTTCTAACGAGACCAATGATGGTGATGTATCTCTGGAGCGTCGTGTAATGAG